CAATTTGAAGCAATGTAAATCTTAAATAAACCCAACCTCTTGTATGATGCATTTTTTTTCTCAACTTCTTTTTGCTTAAATATGTATTAAGATTGATTGAAAACATGAAAGTGTCAAATTCAGGAAGAAGTGGTTTCCATTAGAGAAATACGTTTTGTAACATTCCTGAATAAGTGATGGCATCTACTGTTCTTTCATTAGTGTTATGGTACTGATATTTTGTATTATATGTATCTGTATCTAACAGTGCTATTGTATGACCTTCTTATGGTTAAGCTGCAATTATCCTTTCACTGTTTCCAGCCACATTTTATTGTGTATCTTTGAGTACTTCTCAGTACTGCCTCTGACCAAACTCTGTGAGCTCCCCTGGCTGGTTGGCTGACTTGATTCAGCTCTACCAAAGAAGTCAGCTCCACCTCAGTTACCTCCTCCCCTAAATGTATCAGAGTGCAAATGGCTGCTCTGCACTACATACACCATTGCTCACCTGATTGTAATCTAGAAAGATTACAATCTGGGGACTGGGGAGCACAGCGCACATGAGGGGGGTGAATACTGCTGGAAAAGGAATGTGAAGAGAAGCTGAAAGTGCCATTTAACAGACCACTCCAGTAACCAAGGGATACTGGAGTGTATTTTCATTTTTTCCTAGGCACCCAGGGAGTATGCACTGAGTGCCTATAGAAGAGCAAGGACAAGACTTACATTATCATGGAGACTTTTGAGTGACTGTCCTTCCCTTGATGATAGACTTGTACTGCCAGTTACTGCTGGTCAATAAAGCTGATGAGGCTTTTGTAGTAACTTGGAAGATCAGCAGACGTTCCTCTGAAGAGATTTCTATCCTAGGTTAAGTGGAAAATTCTAGTTAATGTATACTAGAAAAAAAGGTGGAGATGGCTATTAAGATCTACATACTAGAAGACAAGAAAGAGACTCTTGCAATGCTACATAGCTTGCAGATCATAAAAAGCTGATTTAAATAGTGCGGTAATTGACATTTCTGAATCTGCAAGAAGCAGGATGTATTGAGATTTCTCAATGACATTATGACTCTGGGATGTATGGTTATAAATGACATCTTGTAAAGCTGGAAAGGATTTGTGCTCTATCTCTTTTCATTTTCTTCATGGTATTATTTACCTGTCCTGGATTGAAGAGGCAATGGCTCTTAAATCAGATCTAATTCAATTTTGAATTCTTGGATCTGTGACAGATGACCTGCTTATTTCCCAGCTTGTCCTTTTACTGGGACCAGATGAATATGTAATAGGTCAAAGTGATGATGTGTCTAAGAAAGATGATAAACAGAACTATAATTGCACTGCTTGGTCCAGTTTTGGTACCTCATCTGCTGTGTAGAGCTTTGAATGCTTACAAAATCCTATTGCTGCCTCTCAGAAGCTGACCAAGTAAGTGATTTCCTCCAGAATAATATGTTTAATGTTTTCAGGTAAAATGAACTTTGTACAGAATCTCTAAACGAAGCATTATAAGAAACCTCTGACCTTGGAACTCCATTTATTCTTTGCAATTCTTAACAGCTGTACCTTTAATACAATATCTTCAGAGATTTTCAAGCTAGTAGAACAGGTCTCATTTGGAGTCAGAAATCTCCAACTAGTATCATTTTGGATGATTTGAGCAAGTTATCTGATGAGCCATGTAATTTTTATTACATCATTCTTAGCCAAAATTTTTAAGTTGGATTAAACGTATTTTCTTCAGGTTCAAAACGTAGGAGAACATTAACACTGTGATTTGCTCACACAGTGAAAGATCAGCAGCTGTGCATGACTAATCTCATATATAAAATGGAGACTCCACCTCATTTATTTTTACTATTTGTTTTCCTTTCCCTTGACACTTGTTCCAGTGAGCATTGTACATGGAGAAGAGTGACAGGGGAGAGTCCTTTCTCCTTCGCTTCCTTTCTATGAACATTTAGTAGATTGTCCAGAGAAAATAAATATGCATTCATATTAGTGATACTTAATTTTTATACTTTCATAGAGTATCTCGAGTTGAAGGGACCCATAAGGATCACTGAGTCCAATCCCTGTCTCCACACAGGATCACCTAAAAATCAAACTATGTTTCTGAGAGCATTGTCCATCCTGATAGCGCTGACAACAGACCATCTTTTTTATTTGTCCACCTTAGGACTGTTTATTCCTTCCAGCACCAATTGGTGTGCAGCAGTTTTGCAGAACTATTTAGGATTCAGTGACTTGGTGGAAGAGCTAGCAGATCGACTCAGAGCAACATGTTGCATACCAACTAAAGTTACATCTAACAGCTGTAGAACAGTATGTTACTTAGATGTCAGAGATACTGTATTTGCATAAAACACAGAGTGCTTAAGCTATTCCGAAAAATTCATTTTGTTTTCTTCTATAGTAACAGTAGGAGATAGTTTGTGTTTAGCTTCTGAATTCTTAATGTAATGAATAATAAAATTTTCATGTACAGTAGGAAATGTTCAGTAAGGATGCAGTAATTTAGTTCTGCCAGGCTTTCAATGGAAAATGTGGTATATTTTGCTAGGATGTCAGGAAACTACAGGTGATTTTGCATGATGACTAATTCTATTACCAGTATCAGTATGCGAAGGACAGTGTCTCTCAAGAATAAAAACAGGATTTATAGAGAAAATGATGGAATGCAGCTTTATCGAGGCAACATATTTTTATCTAAACAAAATACAAAAATTCTTCCTTTTATTCCATGCCTAGAAATGATTAAATCTTCAAAATGCAGTTGGAATATGTATATATAAAGGAAATGTGTATTGAGTTTGCTGTGCTTTGACTTTCAAATATTGTAAGTAATTACTAAGCAATTCTTACTGTTAGAGTTCACAACTTTCTTTTAAAGGAAGGATATTTTCTAAATTTTTCAAAGAAACGATCAACTAGGACAGATATTTAAAAGCTTCTGTACTAATTTTATGTCCAATTATTTCTAATCTTTTAGAAATTTTAATTATTCAGGGAGGTACCAGATTGTAGGTTGAAGGAGAGGGAACACTTGTCCTTATAAGGGGTGAGAATTCTTTCCTTTATTCTGTTCTGCTTATCAGTAAGATACAGATTTTGTTTATCCATTTCCATATATCCTAGCTATTTTTCTGATATAATCATACATGGACTGATGCACTCTGTTGAATTATAGAATCACTATGGTTGGAAAGGACCTCAAAGATCATCCAGTCCAACTGTTCACCTATCACCAGTATTCCCACTAAACTATGTCCCTTAGTACTGCATCTGCACATTTCTTGAACACTTCCAGGGGTGGTGAATCCACTGCCTTTCTGGCTGCCCTGTGCTGAGTACAGGAGAGCCATCACATCTTTGCTTCTGCTGGCTATTTCTGGTACAAGCTAGGATGTCGTTTGCCTTCTTGGATGCCTGGGCACACTGCTGGCCCACATCCAACCAAGTGTCAGCGAACATCTCCAGGATATTTCTTCCACACAGGAAACTGCATGTGAAATTGTTTAATAGCCTTAGGTCAGAGAATGCTTTTTGGCTCACTGATGTCTGTCAGCCAGTGTCAGCAACACAGAGCAAATACAGGGGCAGGGCAAAATCCTGATAGGAACTGTAACCTTTGATAATGGTTATCTTCAATTACAAAAGAATCTTTGCAGTCATCTTATTGCATGGATCCTGATTGGAAAAGATTTAGAAAGGTTTTCAGCTCTTAATTTGTTTAGGATAGTGACATGTTTTTTATTGTTGGAGATATTTAAAATTGAGCAGTCTGTGTGTGTGTATGTCTTGATATCAGACATTAGGCCAATATCTACATTTATACACTAGATTTTATTCGTGCAAGAATAAAATACAGTCTTCCAGTTTTGTCTCAGCTTTGAGGGTTTTGGTGCAGCTAGATGAGTATCTTAGCGCTTTCTAAGAGCAGTGCATTAAGGTTGGTAAGGACCTCTGGCTCCATCTGGCCCAGATCCTGATCCAGCAGGGACACTCAGAGCAAGGTGCCCAGGACCACATCCAGGCTTTGGAAGATTTCCTAAGGAGGATACACAGTGCTTTTGGAACAGAGTCAGTGACTTGTCCTTTGCTTGTATCTTAACCCCACCATGTCTTTAGGTTCGATTTAGTGGATATCAGACTCTTAACTGTAAACTTTTCTAGCTTCTAAACAGGTAACATATATATGACCTCAGGGACATGGATAATTCTTGCTGCTTTTGTGGGCTCAACTAGGCTGATAACATTTTCAAATCTTGACTGTATTTGTTACCACATTCATTCTCAGCATTTGCCTGTAGTACACCTAATGAAGGAAAGAACAGGTTTATGTGGTTACCATGATATTTTGCTCATGAATGTGATTTGCTAGAATGTATAGAGTTCTAATGAATTTTTATGCTATAAGGTTTAGATTCTTTAGTTATTTCATTGAATCTTAAGATACACTGTGTGTCATTCAGTGAGAACAGTGCTGAAAGACCATGGGTCATCTACATAATTAGCAAGCATTCTTTTTTTTCCCTTTTGATTTTTTTTTTTACAAAACTTTTTGTGTAAGATTATACAATGTTGGTGTATTAGAATAGTGAGATTTTTTTTTTTTTTTTTTTTTTTGTAATGTCATGTGTAAAAGAAATTGTTATTTTTGTTTCAGTCTCTGAACTAGTCTTTTAAATAGTGGTAGTCTTTTTACATCTGTGAAATACCACTAGACACTGATTTATTTTTTTTTATATATAGTATTTTTAGGAATTATCACAGTTCTTCATTTATCAACAAAATATGTGTATTTGTCTACAAAATCTGGCATCTAGCATGTTTCTGGGATATATCAAGTAGTTTGATTTTATATAGTGATAGGAATTTTTAAAGAAGGTACTATACAAAAAAAACTAGAAAGGAAAGTTTGTGAACAAGGTGAATGAAGCATTGCTTCAATGAAGTTCTGGTGGAATAACAATGTTTTTTTTGTTTCTTTTTCTTTCTCTTGAATTTTAGATTTATCCATGGCAGTGCAAAAATTTTCACAGTCCTTACAAGATTTCCAGTTTGAGTGTATTGGAGATGCTGAAACTGATGATGAAATTAATATTGGTAAGTATCTCATGCATTACTTCATAAATTCTTATATGTTTCTTACATTATTGGTACAGTGAGGCAAAGTACTATTTAATGGTGCATGTAACAAAAAAATGGAAAAGACTCATTAAGTGGGAAGCATGCAAGACTGTAAAAGGACTTGCCAAAAAAAAAACAACCACTAATAACCTTTGTCTTCATGATGTAGTTCAGTTCTTTGTAGCTTGAAGAATTCAGTATGAGTTTGTCATTTGTCAACTGAGTCAGCTGTGAATCTTCTAAATCCTGCTGCTGTTTCTAATTTCCAGTTTTCTTTGGGATACTGAAAGGTATGCAAGTTTCCCATGAGCTAACCTGGGTCTGGAAGAAACACTTAAGTACCTAGTAAGACGGAGGAAGTGTTTAAGGATCTAAAAACAGGAATATGTTCTTTACAACTTGTGCATTCCTAAGTATATAGTTGTCTGAGTTTTTGCCAGTAAAATTTACTAGCTGCTTAATGGTCTGTCTCTGCACACCCAGAAATTCGGCACTCACAAAACTGAACAGCTCAGCTTGTTTTGAAAGTAAGTCTCTTTAATATCTTCAAAATAATCTTTCTTCAGCAGATAGAAGAGCTAGTCCTGAGTCTGGCATTCAGAAATCCCACTACTCTTTACTCCAGAGCATTGCTGTAGTTACTGCAATGCTTTTGGGCAGCTGGAGTGCTCCAGCTTCTGTTGATGAGAAACCTGGATACTGATCCATCTTCAAAATGCCTGTGTTCCGTATTGTGAGCTTTAGGTACCTTGTTCCTCCCGTGTTTCTCTCAAAACAACTGGGAGCTGGTTGTTGAAGAGTTGCTTCTAAAAATAAGTAATTTTGCAGTACAATAGGGAACGTACGATTTTTAAATTAAAAAAAAAAAAGAGGAATCTACATAATGTTGAGGGGAAACTATGCATTTGCTCACTTATTGATGAGCTTAAATTTTAAAATTTAAAATTGTTTTATGTTTACATTAAATATTTACTTTGTGATTTCATACAAAAGGATTTCTAAAACAGTGGAACATAACTGAAGTACTCATTTGGAAATTGATAGGGGAATATGAAAAGGGTGAAATTTAGTATTAGAATTTAGTAGTTTAGTGTGAATGTTATTCCTCTGTTGAGTTTTAAAACATTCAGAAAAATAGAAGAACATTTTTGTCCAGCACCATGAAGCACTGTATTCTAGTTTACTCAATACAGTACTTTGTCCTCTGATTTATTGTTTTTCTGATTTATTTTTTTTCTGATTTGTTAAATGCACAGATACTGAAAAGACTCATGTATGCACTTTTTTGTCATTCTGTGTGTTATGTCTTGGCTGCTAAAGTTAGCTTGTATGTATTTTATGCGTTTAAACTAAATCTACAGTATCTCAGTTGCATGTCTTAGATTTGGTTCATTTTAATTTTTCTAAAGGCATAAATTTTGCGTTTAAAATGAGGTGACTGATGACAAGGAGGACTTTCATTTTACTGGTAGCCTATATGTAGAAAAGAAAAGACATTTTATTGTTTAGACATTAAACAGGCATTTAAAATTTAGAAAAAAAACGGAGTTCATGAAGCTTGACAGCTGATTTATTTCACTTGGAGCTTCAAAGAAGGGATTTCTAGCTTCTAAGGCAAGAATTGCCTGATGGATTGTCGTGTGCATCAAAGAAGCTTATAAGAGTAAAAGGTAAACTGACAGGAATCAAATACAAGTCTAACAGAACGTGACTGATACTGTGTGCTTTTATAGGATAACTCTCAATTTTTGATCTTGCTAGAGCAGTGACCTAGAATTTGTTCATATCTTTAACATGTCCCAACCAGCTCAATGGTTTCTTTTGTGTTTTTTTTTATCGTCAAACACAAGCCTTGTATATAAGAATCCTGCTCTCTGTGACTTCTGCCTTCACCTCCTTTAAGAAAATCTATGGCTACAAATGCTGCTGGGAAGTTTTACTTCAGTTTCCAGTGATACTCTAACTTGATGAGTTTTGTACAAAAATACCATCTACATATGGGCTACATTCTAAAGATTTTAAAACGCATTTCTGTTTCAAGCATGCTAATATTACCTTCTGAATAAAGCTTCTCCTGACAGAATGTCATCATTTTTGTTTCTACTTTTTTCAAAAATGCATGAGGGATTTTTTTTTTTTGAACTGTAACAAATATTGGAATTCAGTTGATGGCTCTGTGATTTTTTTCTTTTTTTAAGTGAAACCGGAGTTGAAGGTTCCTGGTTCATAGCTAAGCACTCAATATATGCAGAATTGTGATACCGTTTGTCATATTTATTTTTCGTCCATTTAGTATTTCATCTAACTGTGCTTCTTATTTATTTTTTCTTTTAATTCTCATCTTTGGTTTCTGATTGTTATGATTTCTTAATTGTTATTTACAAATGTTTAATTATTTGATAGAAGTGATGCTCTTCTTTGACAAAAATGTGTTTGTAGATGTATAAAGCATTTTATATATAGTTTCTACTTTGTTGCAAGTTACCAATATTAATCTACTCAGCCGCTATCAGATGTACTATGCCCAAGCTAGAATCAGACATTTTATGCACATCCTGTAAGCTGTTCTTCTGATTTCCTTCAGTTAGCAGGCTGGCTTTACAAATCAAATACAACTTGATTTTTTACTAAAAAAAAAAAAAAAAATTGTGAATATAAAGAATTTATGCTATAAAGATTTTTCTCGAATGTTCAGAGATCTGCTGACAAATACAGTTTGTAATTAAAAAATAAATTGCTAGCACTTATTATCAGTGTTATTTCTTCCTCTTTTTTGAAATGCACATAGCAGCATGTGATCCACAGTGTTACAAAGGCCATATTACTGATTAATGGAACATGAATATCAGCTTCCATGATGTGTGATTCAGCCAAGCACTCTTTATTTGTGTGATTGAAAGTTGTGCAGAAGGAGGCATCTTAGCACTAAAATCATTAACCATTAACGCTATAAAGAAGGCTTAATACAGTTCAATCTGACACAGGAGAGTTTTTCATCTTATTAACTGTGCATTCCTCAGTATTAAATAATGAATGACAGTATCAGGCCTTGCCTTTTAAAGATGTATTGCACTGTACACAGTTTCTGCCAGATATGCAATTAGAGAATGCAATGAGAGTTTTCCACCAAAAAAAAGTGTGTTTTATTTACAAGTTTCTATACTTTTAAGTAACCTAAGTTCACACATATAAGTGCAAAACTGTATTTTAAAGTGTCTTTTTTTAAATTTATTTTTTTATTTTACACTGTGCAGACAAATAATTCAAGAAGGTTTTCACCAGCTCCTCCTTTCCTAATAGTATCCAGCTTATGTCACATAATTTCTCCTGCAGGAATCTCCCTGTTCTTATCATCCTTTCTTCTGTTTGTTATCTGGATTGTAGCTGATACAGACAAAAATAGTTAACAGTTGAGCAGAATTCTGTCATTGTTCTGTCTTGCTTCTTTAACAAGTTCTTATCTATTTTGTATCGAGATTTATCATAAATTACTAAGATTTAAAATCAGCAGTGTGAGACTTGTTCTTTGGAGTTCAAGGAAACCAAGACAAATAAATACATTCTGTTTCTTTTGTATGTTTAGGTCATCCACTGAATCTTCAGGGTAAAGCCAAACCTCAACCATGACACTGGATGCATTTTACTTAAATGTCTGTTTTACGTTAGCGTGTACTATTTAGAAAAAAGCACTGAAAGGTGTTTGTGCAGTTTTGCTAGTGATTTATATATATATATTTTTTTATCTGAAGACAAATATATATTCATAGGTTTATATTATGAAAAATGTTTCAGCTGATGCTTTCCTATCCTTAAGACAGGATGATGATGGTCTGTAAAATTGTTATTTTTAATTAAGGAACAAGGAACAGGTCAGAAGTTCTGAAATTTGCTATTTTCCTTATGGGACCTAAAGCATACAGGGGAGGAAAGACTTTTTAAAAATACTAAAAACAAAATGAAAGAAAGAAACCTTTATCAACAGGTATTTGTTAAACTCCACTGCTCTGGTCTTACGGCGCTCTTGCTTTGAGTTGAGCAACCATGCCAGAAGCTCAGTCTTCATTTTGTTTTTACTGGGCATTCAATACAGAGCTTGTCAGCAGACAAACATCCAATCATTCGAAGCAGCAAACTGATCTGCATTCAGTAATTAGTGTGTAGAAATAAAAAAAAAAAAGAAATTAAAAAAGAAAGGTCAGGATGTTTCCCTCCTCCCATTTCTTAAAGCAGTGTAAAAGGTTATTGACATTGAGACGTGACAAATGACATACTTAAATGGTACAAAGTGTGCATCATAGAATCACAGAATGGCCTGGGTTGAATAGGACCACAATGATCATCCAGTTTCAACCCCCCTGCTATGTGCAGGGTCGCCAACCAGCAGACCAGGCTGCCCAGAGCCACATCCAGCCTGGCCTCCAGGAATGTGGCATCCAGAACCTCCTTGGGCAACCTGTTCCAGTGCGTCACCACCCTCTGTGTGAAAAACTTCCTCTTAATATCTAAACTAAACCTCCCCTGTCTCATCAGGGCCTTCAGAAAGCTGACTGAAAGCTCTCTAGAAAATTGCAATTTTAAGCCACTGTATTTCTGTTGTATGTAGCATGCACTGGCCTCTTAAATTAGTTTGTAGGATTCAAAATTAATTTTTAAACTCCATGAAGTCATCTGCTGTCTGAATCACTTTGAGAATCATCATCTTAATTGCTGGCGGTTAACTTGGAAGTTCAGGAAAGTTCTTTTTCGATTTAATAGTCTTCCCACTTCAGTGAATTGACATTTGTAAACACATTTCTGAATGACGTTACCTAACATCAAATAATTTTAAAATGCATTCCAGTGGCTCTAGTATACTGCTGGCTTACGCCCACCAAAGAGACAGGTAGATTTTGCCACCACCTTGAAGGTGGAGCATCTGGGAGTGGATTTCATTACCATAGACATCATCTCAGTACTGTTCTTACTGCTTGAATTTG